AACTAAATGTAAGGGAGCTAAGGAGTATTTGCAAAATTAACACATACTGCACATCGAAACATCATACAACGATGACCTAATTTGAAGGATCAACATATTTAAAATTATAATAATTGATTTAACCAATAAATATTGAATCATGAAGCACAAAGGTTTATCATTTCAGACACTAGAGTCACAATAATCCTTAAACAGGCGCTAGACCAAAACGAAAATCATGAAAACATTACGGAAAATGCGTAAACAATGATAAATACATACAAGATTAAAATAAAACACGCAAGACTTAGAGATCATATGTATAAAGCAACATAAATTGAAATAAACTGGTGTAGGACTAAATTGAAAGGAGGATGAAACATGGAGACAAAAACAGAAGCATAAAGAGCATAGATATTAGGACCACAATGTAACGCATATAAACTAATAGGATCCCTCATGTTATTTACCCCTCTCACCAGACGCGGGTTACCCTAACCCTTAAACGTTGCCATTTTGGCGGCGGTATATATATATATATGTTATTTTGGGTAAAAAAATTACCCTAGCCCTCATTTGCATCATCCCCTTTTTCTTTCTTAACTCTCTTCTCTTTATCGCTCTCTCCTTTACTCTTTCTTCTCTCACCCTTTCTTTGTTTTCTTTCTCTGAAACCCGAATGGCCACCGCGGCCGCGACCGTCTAGGGCTCCGATGAGGAGCCAAATAGACAGAAATCTCACCCTGAAAACAAACCCCAGATGAACTCCCCCAAAAGAAATTAAACCCTAAATACCCAAGATCTAACCCTCTCAAACCGGATAGCCACCGCGACCACCACTACCTAACAACCCCGATGAGGGGAAAAAGCTCCTTAACCATCCTTCTCTTTTCTCCTTTTCGCAACTCGTACCTCAACCAAACCCAAACCCGATGAGACACCTCTTAAATCCCAAAACAAAATATCGATCTAAGGTCGAGAGGAGTTACCTTGGGTGATTCAAGGTCGTTTTAATTTCGGGTGACGACAGTGAGCTTCTCCCGATAGGGAAGGTAAGGTTTTTTCGTTTGGTCACTCTTCTCCCTATTTTTTGGTTTCTCGGTTCGCTCATAAAATAAAGGGAATACTCTCGTTGTCCTTTTGATTTCGGGTTGCTCTTACGTTGTATCTATGATTTCTCTCTTGGTTTTTTTGTTCGATCCTAGAATGAATCCTCTAGGGCCTCACTTTTTGTTGGTCTTTTGCTTATATTATTGTTCTCCCTGTCCGATTTTACTAATACTTGCCTTGTGTATGGCTCTCTATTTGTTTTTTATATGTTGTTGTTGCATGCGAGGGATTTGGAGCGTTGTGTCGAGGAGGCTCAACCCCTCTGCCACTGTCACAACAGAGGGATGTAGCAGGCAGGACGGGTCGTTGTTGTAGGCGTTCGGGTACGACAAGGGCAGTGGGTACCCGCTGTGAGCGTCGGGGTGCTCGAGGATCGCACGTGCATCAGATGCGACAGATTTGACAAATGATCTTCCTTGGAGCAGCGACGACAACTAGGGTTTGAAGACCCTAAAAGTTGTTCAGGATCTGGACTGTTAGATGGGTCCAGATCTGACGGTTCTCGTGAGAGACGACACTGAAGGGTTACATAAAACCCTAAATTTGCCTGTACATGGACCGTTATATCACAAAGATGGATCTAACAGCTATGATGATTCTTTCTTCTGGTGGCGGCAGCAGTTGGTATTAGGGTAAACAAACACTAGATCGCGCCTAATCAGGACCATTGATCTCACAAGAGATCCAACGGTGTACGTTGGGCAGCGCTGGGAATGACTAGAAACCCTATCTGCATTGGGCTACTGCTTAAGGCTTCCCACTGATTAGGTTGCTATGGTTCGAGCCTCTGTTTGGGTCATGTGATGAGTTGTTTGTAATTACTTTGGGCCTATAACAGAAAAAATAATAAAATTAAGTGCATTTTAAATTAATGTTATCTATATATATATATATATATTCGTCTTAATTACTTATTATATATATTTATACGTATATAATCATAATCGTGTATACCCTAATAATATATATATCCACACGTACGATTAACTATAGTAATTAACCCATGTAATATGAACATGTATAAATAACTAATCATATATAACTTGTATAACTAATCATAATCAGGCTATTGAAAACATAGTTGTTGATTTTGATGGTAATAGATCTTGTATAACTTGTAATTTTTTACCATGTAAAATAACTTTTTGTTTCTATTTTGCACTACTTATAAACTTTGAACTGTGTACTTGATGTTACTAAAATTACTTATATTGAGTTAATATGAATAAATAAATATTTATAAAGTTATTTGTGATATTTTATTATATTCGTTGTTAAAAAAATCATTGTGCATCATAACGTATATTTTACTGTTTATGGAAGAGTATAACATTCAACATATATATTATGATGAACTTTTTTCGACAAGTAGCTCTAAGTGTGTAACTCTCTTTGTGCTTGTTCATGTTGATATATGAAGCTCGTATAAGGTATCTAAACATAATGGTTTTAGATATATTTTTTCATGAAAAAGGTTTGCTCATTGCTCAAAATTGTATCAATTCAATAAGGAGAAAAGTAAACACATATAAATAATTTTGTCAAATAATTTGATATGATATTTCGTTTTACGATTCATACATATAGCATGAACAAAATAAAAAAAAATAGTAATTAATACATACTTACACCGATGTAAGTATGTACATAATTTTGTCAAAGCATGTACATCTCAAAATTATACTGATTCAGTAATGAGAAAAGTTAACACATACTTACACTGGTGTAAGTATGTACATAATTTTGTCCAACAATTTGATATGGTATTTTGTTGTACAACACATACATGTAGCATGAATAAAATAAAATAAAATAAAACTAACAATAACACATACTTACACCAATGTAAGTATGTACATCTCTCAAAATCTCAAACGACTATTATATCTTAGTCAGAAGATTAACGTCTAGTTCAAACTACCATAATTTTTCAACGAAAAAGGATGAGTTTGGAACATATGTATAGACATGTGATCATTTTGTAATTTTTAATAGTTGAGGACTCAACAAAGCAATGTCCTATGGTCGGAGGACCATTTTATAACTTTTAATAGTCGAAGATTCAACAAAACAACACCTTATAGTTGTAAACCATTTTGTTTACTTTCCCCTAATTTTAGTTTCAATAATGGAATAATGATATGTTACTATAGCAACATAATTATATGTATTTTTTGTATTTTTGAAGAAATAAAAATAAAAAAAATAAATATATATATATATATATATATATATAATTATTTGTATAAAATTTTATTAAAAATATATAAATTAAAAATAATAGAAAAGTATATTTTCTATGAACTCTTATATAAATATTTTGATTTTAATATTAAAAATTAAATTTGTTAAAAAATATATTTCAAATATAATTTGGTAAATCGTGCATTTTTATTATTTTATGTTCCTTCGATCAGATATTATAATCTTATGTCAAACAAACCAAATAATATAACACAACATTTTTAATAATGTGTTAAGTAATAAAACATTTTGAAAGTATTATTCTCAATGATAATCTTACATTCTGTGAACCAAATTATTCCTAAAAACTTTTTTTCTCATTAATCATCCGCGACTGAGCAAATCTTTTTTCAAGATATACATGTCTCTATTTCGAAATCCTAAAATTTGAAATTTAATTAGTGCATACTCATAAAAGAAATCTAATTATTAATATGTACGTTCTCACATTAAAAAAATATTTATAGATGTAAATCACACAATATCTTCACCACTGTTCAGCCTTACATCTCTTGGACCACCAATGCCTCCCTTCTTACAAACTAACAATTTTTATTATAAAATGAGTACACAATCATGATTAAAATTATGAGATGGAGAAGCAGATAAACACAAGGGAAACCTTCTCCCGTTTGATACAAACTGATTCATAACCTTGCAAGAAGAGTTTAAGAAAATCCAGGTCTTTTCTTTTAATTACTTTGACAATCACCCCTGTTAAAGGTTGGTTTAATCTTGCTCATAAACAATGGCGGATCCAAAAAGAATTTTAAGAATGGATACATATATATTAATAATATAATTTTTTTCATATATGATAGGAATAAATAAATTTTTAAGTCAGTAAAATAAACCATTAATATAAAGATATTTTGATTTCAAGATGAACACATAACTATCTAAAGCCTACATCCGCCACTCTGCTCACAAAGCCAAGTCAATGAATCCAGGTCGGTAATCTTTTTGGTCTGCATCAAGAAAACAAAAGAGAATGGCCATTAAAGCCGATACCAGAAATTTCCAGACTTTAATACCTTCATTCAATGTTTGAAAAGTAGAATCGTAGCCCTTGATATAGCAGACTATCACATCATTGAGTCACTACTTGGTAATAGAAGCAAGCAGCAAGCTTAACCACTAAGCACAACACTTTTTAATTCAAAGAGTGCTGCAATTTTTAAAGCAAAAGCCAATTCCCTTCTTTAAATGCTTTTCCCAATCTCAATAACAATATACTATGCCACATTGGTCCCTCCATCCACTCATAATATCAAAAGTTTCTTTTGCTTTCCTTAATCAAGTTTTCTTTTCTAACAAATTTCTGTTTCCATGCTATTTTTATATTATAACTAGATTGATTAGTTTTGATTCAAATATAAAGACTCAATTCAATTTATATTAATTTCAATTCTAATGTATTAATAATTTTTTTAATTTAATTATAAAATAATATTTATTTAAAATAATATCAACTGTTTGACAATAAGTATTTAAAATATTCTTACAAACATCACTTTTAAATCTAGAATCTTTAAAAATAATAATCATTTCCTTAACAACTTAAATCGCTTACTATTGGGTTGTCTTTTACCTTTGTCCACTAAATGCTCTATTTATTTAAGGGAAAATAAGACATTCAGACTTTAAAAACTTTGTACGTACTCTCTTTTATTTTCATTAACGAAGTATCCATTAGCATTTGTTGAAACCATGCTTTCCCCTCTACCTCCACCGCCACCGCCACTCTCTCCGCCTCCACCGTCAACAAAGCCGGCCACGCCGGTCTCTCTATCCCAAATCGTAATATCAAAGCCAGTCATAAACCAACTATCACAAAACCCATCATCAGGCAAAACAAATCCCGACACCGACATCAACTCAAGGGAAGTAAGAAAGTCAATCCTCCTACCACCTCACCCTCGACGAACCAATCCATTGATATGGTGTTGCGCCGTCATATGCTTGATATTCAGCGTCGTCCTCATCTTATTCGGCGTGGCAACGTTAATCATCTTCCTCTCGATGAAACCGAAAACCCCATTGTTCGACACTCCCAACGCAAGGCTCAACGGCATATACTTCGACTCGCCGGAGTATTTCAATGGAGATTTCGTTTTCCTGGCAAACTTCTCCAACCCCAACGACAGAATCGACGTGCGGTTCGAGTATCTGGTGGTGGAGCTTTACTTCCATGACAGGCTCATTTCGGCTCAGGCTGTTCAACCGTTCTCGCAGAGGAGAAGGGAAGCTAGAGTGGAAGCGATTCATTTTATATCGAGTTTGGTTTATTTGCCGCAGAATCTCGGTGTGGAGTTGCAGAAACAGGTTTTGAGCAATAGGGTTAAGTACTTCATAAGAGGGGCATTCAAAGTGAGGGCGCATCTGGGTTTGATCCATTTTTCATATTGGTTGCATGCTAGATGTGAGTTGCTCATGTCTAGTCCACCTACTGGTGTTTTGGTTTCACATAGTTGCAAAACTAAAAAATGAAAATTTAACCCTTCTTTATCACCTTAATCCCATTTCCTGGGTTCTTGTCAGTGTAAACAAAATGGGTAAACTACATATTTTATTCATCCAATTATCACTTTGTATTTATTCGATTATTATTTAGTACCGTAGCTTGCAGCCAACGATGTACGTATATTTCACAGTTTTTGCAGCATCATTTTCATTACACATTTCTCAAATGACTTTGTACAAAACTTGTACTCAAGTTCCAATATTATGTAATAATACCCTATGCACCAAGCCCTACACAATAGGTTAAAAGCACCCTATAATTTATAATCTATTGACCGACTAATCCAGATAGAGTACTGCAGAGGGATACTATAGAGGCGAGGACGACCCTTCCAACCCAGTTTGTTCTATTCGTAAACACCAGAGTTTGAACTCCTGAACTTGCTTAAGGAATCTAGTGCCTCATTCCACTAGACCGACTACTTGTTGGTAAGATGTGTGTATGTTATTAATAATTAAAAAAAATCATGAATAATTATTATCTTATAACCACCACATGCTATTAAAAAAACAACAAATATTACCCACAAACTTATTACACCCTAAATTTTTTTCTACTAAACTAATGTCGTTTCGGGCCCAATTTGATGAGTTGGGTTTAGACCCATCAAAATTAGGCTCTCTTTATACAGTGGGTCTTGATTTATGTATTAATATTATAAATATTCTCCTTTTAATAAAACTAGGGGCTATATTTACATAAAAAAAAAAAAGGTAGGTATAATATAAGCGTGAAATATTTTTCTTGAAGGTTTAGTTTAACGGTGACTATAAAGTTGGATAACTTTAACATATTTGGTTCAAGTCCCTATCATATATAAGTTTATTTATATATTTATTTTAATTATGATTTTAATAATTAATTCAAAATTCATTGTAATAATTGATTATAATTGTAATTATTCAAGCATGACATATGGTTACTTATATTAAGAGGTTTCTAAAATTATTATTTGTAAAGATTTAAAAAGTACAAAAAATAAAATCATTCAAACTGAAGAACTCAACCCAAAATGAATGGAATGACCACACCCATAGACAAGTCTGGCTCCCCCAAGAGAGTAGCCAAAATCGGATGGGTGTGACGTACAAGTAAAGTTATATACCCGACATTGAATATGTTCATTTTCTAAAGATTGCCATGCCTCTAAAAGATCATGTCCTCAACAAAAGTCCCAATATGCATTGGAAAATGACAAGCCACGTTGCAGTAGACTAGGGAGAGCAAATCCATGTTCACAAAAGAATGGAAGCTACGAGTATACAAGGCAAAAACAAGGTGCAAAGTGGCCATGTCACCTGCCGAAACAGCTAGTTACTAAAGACGTAAGAGCCGATTGAGAAATTTCAAACCGACAGATCCACCAGGGAAGTAAGAAACAGCATAGTATGCAAGTGCAAGGACCTACGAGTTCCATGGAAACAGAAAGAAAATTGATATCAAAACTGGATGATCATGCAGGCACTTAATATCTCAGCTGATAGTTCAATTAACCTTACAAGTTTAAGATAGAATAATCGAACAAAAATGACAGGTGTAGTATACCTGTAACACAGAAAACATAACAGAAAGGATGTAGCTGTGAAGCACCATGGAAACATAGATGGTACCCACCATACACCCAATGAATATCAGAGTAAAAGGAAGTCTCTGCAGCAATGGTGTGAAAAGAAAAGAAAAGAGAAGAAAAGAAAAGAAAATATTAGATGCACAAAATCAAACTAGATGATCGTTAACTTTTCTAGCACTTGGATTGCAAACAAATACAGTAGGGGAAAAAATAAAAAAATATAGCCAAAATATCTCTTTTGATGACATGTGGGCTAACTGATTCTTTGGGCCTCTTAGAGCAAAGAATGATCCAATGATAAAGCCACATCCAAGAGTAAAGCAGATTGCAAATTTCTGTGGCATGATCACCATGACAGGAAGAAACATGGTAAAAGCGATGAAAATGGAAAAGACCCCAGTCTCCGGAGTGTGGCAGATTGGAAGTTCCCGGGAATCTCTCTCACCCCTTGCGAAACACTGGAGCACCAAGAACCAAACCAAAAATGAATTAACAGGATAAAATTATGATCTTATGACGTTTACCTGTCCCTTTTTATTAAAATTTTAATGACAGAAAAACAACTTTGCATGAGCTTTTGATCAAAGATCCCAAAGCAATTGCTCTTCCACCACTATAGGGTTTAGGGTATTTCAATATGTATTAGTGGTATAATTGGGTAGTTAAAAAGAGGAGACAAAGACGAGTACCAAGTATAGGTAGCTAATTGGAAGGGCAAGAGAACAGATTCTAATAAACCCTGATTCAACTAGGAAACCTGACCAAACATAATTCACCAATGGTTAGATAATTGATCATAGAGAAATTATGGTTGACATGGTCACTTCACTCGCGTATCCTGAATTGAAACATTAGATACCATGGTTCATTAAATTAAGGCATCACATAATTGGAGTTCTCCCCTGAACTAAGACATAGATGTAATGTCTGCAGGCTTACACAAAATGAAGTTAAATCCCAACCTGAAAATGAAGCAAATATTTTCTTCCTTGTTGATTATGCAGTTCAATAAAGACACATAAAGACCACTCCTTAGCCGGTGCATCACGACACGACTCTAAACAGCATGATCCGAATAACCAAGATACCACACTTGGTTTCATGGTTGAACCAAGTTACAAATCCTCTTCCATTGTTAGTCACATCATTTCCGACCAATAAATGGAAAAAATATACTAGCTGTAAAGAAATCAGTTTTTACATCTGTATCAAACCAAGCTTTTACCATAAGAAAGATCTAAAAATACCAAATTATTTCTTCTTAACCGATGTGATTTTAAGTCCTCTACCTCTCTTCAGTCCTTCTATGCCTAAATCAAATTGATTTTTTTTCAGCAGAGCATCTCAGATACCGTAATGTATACTAAATGTGTGTGTGTGTGTGCATATTATAAGATAAAAATTCATTTACACGCATCTATCAAGCAAAGAAGCGACTATTACAAAATCAAAGTCTTAACTCACCCAAATTTTGAATGACACCCATTTAGTAAATCCTAAAATTGACAATAAATCAAAAAATAGCCATTCAACAATAGCAATGCAGGTTTATTACTAAATCAACATGCTTGAAAATCCGAAAATCTAAATGCCCTAATTCCCATTAAACCAAAGACCCAAAACCCATCATCCGAATCGAATTCACCTAGTAATCAAATACTCAACCCTAAAAACACGTTAAAAATCGAAGCTCTATTCAAATTTCCCAGATCAACAAGAAGAGTGAGAAAACGGCTTACACATTGAAGGTACCACTGTCGGTATCATTGGCAGACCTCATAGCAGACTCAAGGTCGAACCCAAACGCATTGCCCTCATCTGATTCTTTTGAAGCTGCATATGAATTCCAATCCGCTAAAAGAGATTATCCTTCTTTTCCCTGCCCCTCACCCACACTACTGCTATGTTGCACTGATACGGATACAGGGACAAAAAACGACAATTTTTGAAATTACAGAGTACGTGAACGACAAGGGTATGTCATATAAAATAATTTTAAAATTATAAATAGATGTAAAAAATTATAAATAAAGTTAAATATCAAGACTCAAATCACAATATTAAGTTTAGAATAAAAAATTCATAAACAAATCACAATATTAAAATATCAAATCTCAAGATTCAAACCACAATATTAGTTCTAGAATAATAAAATTTATAATCAAACATTCATAAATTTCAAGTGGTCCATAACTCTAAAAAGAAAATGATATAAAACATTCATATTCATATAAAATTCTTTTCGGGTCAAGTTTTGGTGTCCATAAATTTCACGTTTAAGAAAACATATTTTTCCTTTTAATTTTATATTCAACCAAGTATCAACCGTCTGATTAAACAAATCATTAAAACAAAAACACTGACGTGGCTAATATGTTAACAATATCTTCATCGATCAACCTACACCAATAACTTTTATATATATAAAAAAAAATTGTCACAATCTGTGCTAATATGTTATTATTTTATTTTAATTTATTAAATATTATTAATTAAAATAAATTCTAGTGCATATATAAAAATATTCTCTCCTATTTGTCCATATATGTAAATTACATATATCTCCACTACACCTGTAATTCCATTACATACATAAATAACATTATCTCTCAAGGAAAGAGCTCCCACCCAAGCCAAGAACAATTCCGACCATGGCAGAAGAATTTCATGCAGGGATTTGTGGAAGTAAAAGCATGGAACCTTGTAGGAAGGTACTAAAGATCCTGGAAGCAAACGCAACCAGTTTTCATGGATACTTCCGGTGTGTATCCTGGAAGCTCGTCTGCATGGGACCTTGTAGGAAGGTACTAAAGATCCTGGAAGCAAACGCAACCAGTTTTCATGGATACTTCCGGTGTGTATCCTGGAAGCTCGTCTGCCCATCAACTTGTCATCTTCTTCCTCTTTATATGCCACTCTCTTTCTTTTCCACTCAATTCATCAATGGCTTCTCACGAAGAAACATACGCCTTGGAACTCATCAGGCAACACCTCCTCGCTGATTTTGCTTCCATGGAACCCCAAAAACTGTCATCTTCTCTGAGCCAACGCCGTCCTTCTATCAACGTCACCATCCCACCACAGCCCAAACAGCTTACCGTCTATGTTGCACGGGGACGGCAGAGGAAGGGGTTTCAAGTACCCGAAACATCCCCAACGAGCACAGAAACGTCCCCTGTATCATTCGGTCGTACCCTGCCACCGTGGCACGTCCTCGGTACGTACCCCGGCCGTCCCCGTGCCAGGGACGTTTCGGGTACTTGAAACGCCCTTCCTCTACCGTCCCCGTGCAACATAGCACTACTGCTCCCTGAGAACCAAACTTGCATCTTTTTCGCTTTTTTTATTTTTATTTTTGGTTTCTTCGAAAGAAGCAGCTCTAAAGATTCACACTGTTTCTTGGGGTTTGTTTCTTTTTCGTTGGATTATTTAAGGC